CACCCAATTGATTGTACCAGTACATTACCCACTGTGGACAAAACAATAAGATTCTGCAGACCATCAATCTCGGGAATTCTGGTGCCAGCATTAAAGCGCAACGGTCAACAGAGATTAACCCTGACGTGGGGAGCATTCACATTGATATCAACGTATACCACTGGATTGGAGTCAGACAGTATCTTCAACCACGTTTGTGACTGTATTCATGCCTTCAATATTATTCCTAGACTCAATTTANTTTACATTTATTTTCAAAAACCTGCGTATTCCCTCCAGTTGGATGTTTGAACTTGATTATCTGGTTTCATTCTTCTTCCCAGTTCCAAAAAGGAAAGTTGGCTGAAGGATCCGACCTTTGTTGATCCCTTATGTATGGAGTGACTGAAGCCTTTCCTCTTCTGTCAAAATTTTGTGCACGGAAAACGGGCTAGAGAGCTCTTCGTTCGGAAGTCACTTTCCAAATTAGTATTTCGTAATTCCTGTTCCATTGACTTTCAGTCTAGTGTCTGTTTAGCCAACAACCCGACCGAAAAACATTAAGTTTCAATAATCCCGTCTGGTGTCAACTTTACCAGAGTCGACGTTTGAATCTAATTTTAGGCATGCAATCGTCAATGGTGTGACTTCGAGTTAGTCTTGTTTCTCTTTCCGCTATTCCAGTACAGGTAACGTTTGGCATTTCTTTAGTACCTCTCCTAACCATGACCTTATTTTACCTCTGCCGGGGTAACATCAATAGTTTTTTCTTATATCCTTATGAAATTTCTAGTACATCGATTTCTCTCAAATCGTAAGATGCTGCAGACTACCGTTTGTTAACAGCACCAGGTTATCAGTATCACTTCCAACAAAGAATATCTTTGTAACACATTTTAGAGCGAGGAAGAATGGAAATAGAATAAACCACACACGAGAAGCCAATGATCAGTTTACAGAACCAGTAACGGAAACCTTAGAATCTGGATTGGTGAATGGTATCGAAGCGAAGGACAATAAAGCTGTCTATTATCAACTTTAAAGAGTGAAATGGATTGATAACACTCATTAAACATGAGTAAAAACGGCTTACCGCCCCAGGATTGTTCATATTGTCTGGGTCGATCAGGATGCGCAGCATGTAGCCCAACAGAAACGCATCGCTGAGTTCTATGAACGGCAAACGTTAGGAATTATGGCAGAACATACCTGGGTCTGAATCAGAAAGTAATTGATTGATCATTAAATTTATAAGTAGTTCGTCATCTTTCCGGAACGGAGCAGTCTCTTTATATACGTATTCTCGGACAACGGATGGTTGGTGTTCAACAAAAGCTTGCAAAATCTCCAACGCTGCCGACTTCATATCTTTGTCGTCAGTAGAAAGCAAAACTTCTGCAGTTCTGAGAGCACCGTGTTGTAGGAAACAATTGAGAAAAGTTTCTTTTTGGTCAGTCTGAATGGAAATGTTACAGAACTCTTTGATAAAGAGGGACAGCTCCCTCCGGTGTGCAATATCGGTCTCAACCGATTTTAAACGAGCAAACAAGCGACGCATGAAGTCTTCATCCTCCTGAAGTGCCCGAATGATCTCCATTTTGTTCAACGACACAAAATTTTTTAATTGCGACAGAGTCTGTTCGTCGAACAAACAAGGTGGCGGTAAGCAGCAATCCTGTATGTACTGAACTCTATAGGTCTGATGAATTTTGCTTTTGAGATCCGAGTTGTGTAAGGGTAGAACCTCTTTAAATGAGGCTTTATTTCGCAGGAATTCTCGATGTTTAGTCCGCCCAGAAGGATTATACTCCAAGATACCGATAACGTCCATTAGCATATCATCCGCAAACAGAGTCTCGTAAAGACTGTGCTTGTTAATAAGGATTAACTGGCGCATTATTTCATACAGATGATGTAGCGAATCCATGTCTTTTAAATCCTCCGCTTTGTGAAACAGATCCATCAACTGGTTCAAATAGTTCGTGGATTCTAGGAGAACAACTAACCGTTCACGCTTCTGCGGAGAAGTGATTGCTTGGCTAATCATAAATGAAGTTTCTTCCAAATGACTCAATTCACAGGGGGGCAATGCTAAAGGCTGAACACTTTGAATGAGGCTGGGAGTGTAGCCATCAGCATCATCAACGTCGTCGGACTCATCCACCACTTCCTGCGTTATTTCCACGGATGGGTCTTTCCCTTGAACGGCACAGATTTTTTCCCAAACGTCATCACACCCCACTTTTTCCTGGAATGACAGTGCCAGATCCATGTTCTCTCCCTCGGACCAAACGATGAGGGTTTCTTGCTGTTTCTGATATGCCGTATCGGGTTGTATTTTTGATTCGAGTAGATACGAGCCATCTGTTTCCGAAATAACAACCAAAGCCATGTTATCTTGTTCTGTGTAAATGGCAGAAACGTGTCCTGTGCCTTTATCGTCCCATTGTCTCTCATCATTCAGCATGTACAGCTTCACGCGACGACGCGTACTGGCTTCGGAAGACGCCATGGCTGAAAGAGACATGTTCAGAAAAATTAATGTTACAGCAAAAAAAGAAGGCATGATTCAAACAAATTGAAACCAATCTAACGGGAATGACCCGATAAATAACAGAGGAAATGAAACCACACATCCATAGCTGCAGAATAAACTTTCGACAGCGCATGGAGCAGGGTGGGCCAACTGTCTTTAATTGGCATTTCAATAATAAATCCTGATGCAGTGAAAAGGTGGTATGGAAGAATCCGATTTAGGGGTACACCATTGTAATAGTATTGTAATCAACTTCTTTATGCGTAAAGCCCACACTTTAGTAAAAGGGTACAAATTGGAAGGAAAGGAAGTTAAATAACAAGGTCTGTAAAAACCTGTTTTTTTAACTTGACAAGGTGCTCAAGAGGGTACCGCAGAGTTGCGATGTGTACTCGAGGGGGAACAGAACGACACGGATCTAGTTGACGGACGGTAACAGGAAATTATATCTGTGTAGAGGATATGAGGGGTCAATATGGATCTTATGAACAGACTTTCAACTGTAACTAGCGGTCTGGGCTATAAAGCTTGTTGTGATGAGCCAATAAGATATATCAGAGAGACGCGAAAGTGAACCTGCATGACACTTAAGTCGGCAGTGCTCACCTGGTCTCCCCACCAGATTCACGCAATACTGCGAACAGTGGTATTTGAACACCGACAGTCTATCTTGTTTTCTTAATGGCTACGTTTTTTGCGCTGGATAGCAAAACTGTTCGAACTTCTGCAGCATATACTCGACCCCTCATGGACAACCTGATGTCGCGACAGATGTCTTAAGTTGGCAAATGTCAATCGACGGAATATTCTTCCAACGAGAAGTCTAGGTACAATGTTGATTAAACTGATCCCTCTGCCGTATTCACAAGAGGATCTGTCACTCTTCTTGCAAATTGATATGATCACCGACTCAAACTATTCAGTTGGAACCTGGACCCTCTCCCAAAAAGAGCTCGGGAGTTTCGTTAATTCCAAAATCAAAGCTAAATCTACATTCTTAAAACCTATAGGGACAGACCGTCGGGACTGGAAACCTTATACCTTCTGAGATGAATTATTTCTTGGGTAGCCTCCATTTCATATGGAGGACTGATGTCAATTGGCACTTTGTGCCTAGTTGTGGCGGGCATTGAGAGGTCTTGTATCGACGGCAGCCAGCTGAACTGTGCCTTAAAATGTTCTGCCCATCGATCAAGACGGCGTTGCTGAATATGGATCAGTGCGCCGTCGGACTCCTTAATTACCTCACGCCTGCTTTCCTTGGACCTGTACTCCTAATTAATCGGAAAAGATTGCGACTACTACCGATAGTCGCAGCCTTCTCTATCTCTCTACACTTTCCTACCCACCACTTCTCGTGGTCATTTCTCAGACTCTTGATGAACTGGCGTTTGAGGGATTTGCGCGCTTTGTCGTAGGAGCGGCAGTCTTCAATGGATCCTCGCCAGCGGTGGCTGATGGCAATGTGGAAGATTTGAGTCCAGCGCTGTGAAGCGGCTGGTGGTCTCCATTAAGACACTGGCGTTTTGTGTGAGAGAAGTTCGTGCTTGACAGTAACAGTCCGTAGTCAGTATAAAGTTGGAGTAGGCGTTCTCCGTTGTCAGTCCCGTTGGCTGGGATTGTATGTGAACCACCAAGTAGCCTCCCTGATTCGTCCAGGGATCCCACATGAGCATTGAAGTCTCCAGCGAACACCACGGTGTCCTTTGGCCGAGCCCTTCGGAACAGTTGAGACAGCTCCATGTAGAATTCATCCTTCACTTCTGGCGAACTACAATCTGTCGGTGCATACGCGGATACGACGTGAAACATCGACGCTTCGTTCTGTAGCTGTTGATCGGTACTGAACCGTCCAGACGTACAGCGCAAAGTCGATTACTAATCGGGATCCAGTCGAGAAGTGAACGTTGACACTCAGTACAATCCCA